AAGTTCTTTCTAACGTCTCTGTGGCTCATTTGGGTACTCAGCTTCCACCTGTGTCCCCTTGTTCGCGTCCCACCAGTGTTGAATAGTTCATCCTTGTTTACCCGGTCGATTCCCCTGAGGATTTTGTAGGTTGTGATCATGTCCCCCCTTACTCTTCTGTCTTCCAGTGTCGTAAGGTGCATTTCCCGCAGCCTTTCCTCATAACTCATGCCTCTTAGTTCTGGGACTAGTCTAGTAGCATACCTTTGGACTTTTTCCAGCTTCGTCTTGTGCTTGACAAGGTACGGGCTCCATGCTGGGGCCGCATACTCCAGGATTGGTCTTACATATGTGGTGTACAAGATTCTGAAGCTATCTGAAGAACAAGAAGAAGAATCTATCTGAAGAACAAGTACAAGAAGCTGAAGCTATGAAGTGTGTGTGTGTGTGTGTGTGTGTGTGTGTGTGGTGTATAATTATTTGTTACGGTTTGCTGCCTTATTGTTATGGTGTTAGTTCCTAGGACGATCAACATCGCTTTTTTGGTGGTGTGTAAGTTCCCAGGACGATCAACACCATACCTCGAGGTATGTGATCTTATCCTGGACGATAAGTGCGATAATATAACATAGCGGCGCCTCAGCCACCAATCTCGTTATCTTACACCACTTATCTTGCAGACAACTTTAACAATGTACAGTATTTTCTAATTCAGAATATTATACTTCTTAATCTCTACTATCAATACTGTGCTATTTGTATTATGTAAGAAATTAATCAAATATTAGTTAAATTTCTTAGCTGAAAAATAATATTAAATCATTTAGTTTTGTATAATACAATAACCAACTAGTACTGGTGTATAATACAGTAACCAACCAAATGTATAATAAAATAATTATAATAATAATAATAATTTGCAATAATGAGCCACCTAGTATATTTAATAATATATGTTAGTAAAATCTGTAGTAACAGCTGGAACAGTAAAAGTTGTAACTTTCTTGTATATATAACTTTGTTTTTATTAAATTAATGACTTGTTGGAAATATTGTTTAATTCTGGGTCGTTATAATGATAGGCCTTAATAATGAGCAAAATATTTTTTAATTATATTGATATTATTAATATCAGTTTTATTATTTTTATTATTATTATTATTATTGAAGGTGAAGGTGACCCAATGTATGTGTAAGTGTATTAAAAAAAACAAATTTTCGGATGTAACCTACATCCCTCGTCATGGTACTCTATACTGTACCTTGTACACAGTATCTCGAGAAAGGATGTAGGTTCCATTCGAAAATTTGGTTTTTAATTCACTTACACATGTATTGGGTCTTTCTTTCACCTTCATTCAATCACTACGGCATTGTAGTACGTTTCTACATTATCATTATTATTATTATTATTATAGATGTAAATTTCAGATTAGTTTTCTTCGTAAGTGATTCTATAACATAATCATAACAGAAACAACTGTTGTCGTGTTATAAGGCTCCTCCCACGCAGTTGTGGTCTGATGCCTCATCTAAGGCAACGTTGTAAACAATGTCACCAACATACACAACGAATTAGCTCAAGGCACAAAGAACAAAGGTTGATATCGCTTATTCGATCTGCCATTTCCTAAATATATACAGTTTGGTCTAACCAAAACCGCACGAACCCAAGCAGCTCATTCTATCGACGTCAGTGCATAAAAATTTGTAAATATTACGGTGCTTTAATATGCCTAATAAATCGCATTTTACCATATTGGTGAATTCCTTTAAAAATGCGACGTATAAGGCGAGAGAACAGGTTACTAGGCTACAGAGAGAAAGAGATATGAGAATGGTTCACACCGCTTGAGTCTTAACTCACAAAACTGCACCATTCACTAAGTTACAAGCTCCATATCCCACCAACGAAACATCAATTCCCTTGTGCTTCCCCCCCCCCCAAAATACAGGTAATATACCATTCCGAGCCTACTCGGGATAGAATGAAATTCTAGAAAATAATTTTAAAAAGAAAATGTAATGTTTCCAACCCGATGATAATTTATGCGTGTATCATCATCCCGGCCCACGATTATGTAAATGAAGGCACCGTTATTGCTCGGCTAGGATATTGATGCCTGGATATCGCCATGGGTACTGATGAATTGATGACACATTATGTAGAGCACCCACCGTGTGTCACTGATGATAGTGATGACGGTGTGGAGGGTGTAGATGACGATGTGGGGGTGTGGATGATGCGGTGGGGGTGTGGATGACGCTGTGAGGGTGTGGATGACGCTGTGAGGGTGTGGATGAAGCTGTGAGGATGTGGATGAAGCTGTGAGGATGTGGATGACGCTGTGAGGGGTATGGATGACGCTGTGAGGGTGTGGATGGAGAGAGAGAGAGAGAGAGAGAGAGAGAGAGAGAGAGAGAGAGAGAGAGAGAGAGAGAGAGAGAGAGAGAGAGAGAGAGAGAGAGAGAGAGAGAGAGAGAGAGAGAGAGAGAGAATCTATTAGTATATTTTGGTAGCAGTCTTTCTTGTAAACACATGTTCTTGAATATGACCGAAAGGGTAAGATTAATGATTCAAACACGAATCTTCTCAATATTTCTTACGTTTTTCTTCACTGTTAAGGGAGGTTGAAAAATTACTCTCTAAAATTAATTTTTTACACCTTTCTATAGTCTGACGCCTCGGGAGGCATTTCGCAAGGTATACCTTACATTTTCAAGGACAATTGTACAGTGTTAAACGTAGTATTATATACTCTTTGGGTGAGGTGGAGGATGAATGCCATAACAAGGGGGGGTATTAAATATATCAATAAATAAATGGATGAAGGGGTGTCAATGAATAAATGGATCAAGGGGTATCACTGAATAAATGGATCAAGGGATATCACTGAATAAATGGATTAAGGGGTATCACTGAATAAATGGATCAAGGGGTACCAATGAATAAATGGGATATTAGGGGGTATTAGTAGGGTCAATGGATGCTGTGGCTGCATTGGGCTCTGGGTCTTGAAGTGGGTAGTATGTAATTATGTGTTAGCTGGTTGTTGATTGCAGGTCTGCACTTCTTAATATGTAGTGCCTCGCTGATGTCCAATCTCCCGCTGTCGTTATATCTGTCAATTATTTCAGTGTTGCTTGTCAAGATGTCTCAGATGATGATCTGGTTGTGTGTGGAGATTACATGTTCCTTGATAGAGCCCTGTTGTTTGCGCATTGTTAATTGCCAAGAGAGAGAGAGAGAGAGAGAGAGAGAGAGAGAGAGAGAGAGACGTTGCTGTCTTGCCTATATACTTAGATCGTTGGAGTACTACTGTCTAAACAGGTGAATGTTGTAAACTGACACAGTATTTGTGGATGATGAAACCCAAGATTCATTTCGTTATAGGGAAGCGTTTCCCAAGGGGTAAGTAATTATCAAAAGAACGCACCAAACCGGGGTAATTTAATTTTGTATTTCTTTATATCTGGTTTTATATGTGTATTTAAAGTGAGCGGGGGTTATTTTTGTTTACATTTAAATTAGTTATATGGTTTGTATTGTTTCGCATAGTTACCGGGAAAACACCCTTTGGGCGTTTACGATCAAAAGATGTCTAGTTTGATAGGTATGGGGGGTCACTCCTTTCCCCTTCCCTGTTGAATAGCAGGAGGTCTTGCCAAAACATTTTTACAATCATGGCATTTTAGGAGGTGGCATTTTAGGAGTTACATTGGGGGTTTGGTCCTGTGAGTGGGCTTATCGAACTGTGCTTACATATCAGTGACTGCGGGTGAGGTCTCTAGTTCTTTATGTCCTACCTCCTAGTCTGGTTGTGCCCGTTGCGTTATAATTCCACTTTACTTTTGGTTGAATTCTTTGTTAAATCTGGCCTTAACGTTGTGAATGGAGGTGGCTTCGACGAGTTCGTCCTTCAGTGCATTCAGAGCATTTTTCCTCACATTTCTTCGCCGCCTCTGCGTTTCCAAGTTCCACCTATTATCCTCTTCTACCTTCTATAAAATTTAAAGATGTGGCTTTTATCCGCTTTTGACTATTCCTCTCAGTATCTTATATATACTGATCGTATCTCAGTTTTCCTTCTTCTAGGACAGGGGGACGACAGGGGTATGTGAGAGATGCTGGACAGATCCAGTGTCATGGGAGTGCATATGGGCTCCGTGCCCCCAAGACAGACTCTCCGGTTAACCTCACGAATGTAATCCCATTTCTTGTTAGTTTCATGCAAATATTTGCAATTATGTGAATCTATTAAAAAAAGTAAGCAAGTAGTTATAAAAGAGACCATCATGCCGGGGAGATTGTGTAGTACATAATATGAAGCTCTGAACACTGTTTAAATATATGGCTTGACAATAGGGTTGTTGATTTATGGAACAAATTACCGGGTAACATAATAATGACGCTGGATCACTGTTTGTTTCAAGCGTAGGTTACATATATATGAGTTTTGGTGGATATATATTATATATATATATATATATATATATATAAATTATATATATATATATATATATATATATATATATATATATATATATATATATATATATATATATATATATATATATATATATATATATATATATATAATAAGCGCTGCCACATATGAGCCAATAGTCCTTCTGCAGCTTCCGTTATTGATAAGGACTTGTATTCTTATAAATCGCGTACGCTGTTCCTTAGTTCAAAGCCACTACATAGACTAAGTACAAATGCTCTCCTCATTGCCAAGCTTAATAGCAGCATGTGTAATAGGCTTCTGATTAATCGCGCAAATCCACTCTACGTTTATATCATCACTTAAAATTCAAATAAATAAATAAACAAACATAATGTGTAAATAAATACTCAGCAGTCAATGTTGAACACAGTGCACACCGCACGAGAGAGAACATGGCCGGCACCTACAATCAATCAACTCAGGAACAAAGTAGCTGACGATATCACCTTCGCGGGATACAGGACAAGGTAGTTTGACATTTGTAGCTGAGAATAAGATGTAAGGCTTTACCTGTGGTGTAGTGGTGGCTGGCCATGTCATCTGTCTCTTGCACCATGATGACTCTGGGAACTCCCACTCGATGGTTGAGCACAACGCAAAAACACCACTAACCAAGTCTTGAACTATGCGTCGCCATATCGAATAACATGTTCACTGTTTCGCCCACTTTCAAGTCTCTCCGTTCAAGAGGCCTCCTTGTGTATCTGAAGAAATATGTAATCCGTTTAGCCAGTTTCTGATGCCCTGGAGACCGATCACCCCAAACACCTCTGAAGACGAGGAACGAATGATATGTGAACCGGAATCCCGGTGTACAGGATGCCGCCACCTCGAGCATCCCAGAGGGGCGGAGCTTCTCGCCGAGTTTACCCAATGGCGTGGAGGGGCGGAGCTTGGAGAGGCGGAGCTTGGAGGGGGCGGAGTTTGAAGGGGCGGAGGGGGTCGAGCCTGTGGACACAGGAGAGAGACGGGGACGGAGGGAGGGAGGGCGGGCGACGGTACACCTCCAGAGAGCGGAGACAAACATACCGCAAGATAACGATAGAAAGTATCTAGTTCATGTGAAGGCATAATAAAGGAAAAGTTACCAGAAACCTATGCAGGTGCCCATAGAAACACAAAACGTCCTCACCTATTATTTGCTTAGTGTTTAACCTATATCCAAACTTAATCAAATCATGTTTGCAGGGGGGGGGAAGAATAATAGTATTGCAATAAAACTGGAGCCAGATGTACAGCTATGAAGGAGAGGCAATAGTGGTTGTAACTTGTTAACTTATAACTCCACAAACCGCTCAGTTATGTCATGTCCAATACTTTGAAATAAACATGATGTCACACGTAATATAAAAAGCAAACTATTATGTTTACCATTACAAGGAAGTCCAGAGCTAAAGAGATAGTCTTAAAGCGAGCAAAAATAACCTATTATGAAACACTTAACAAGTTTACACATTTGTACCGTATGTTAGTCAACAGATAATGTGGTAATATGTTCTATATTATGTAATACAGTTTTTCTGTGGGCCTCCTGGTTGCTACTTAGGCTCTTGTGTACCACAGTACTGTCCAATAGGTGCCAACAACGTTGTTGTGAATACCATAATCTTCTTTTGCAGTACTGAAGTAAATATTCACAATAATGTGCTTCAGAGTATCCTTCAGCGAGATACACACTGTGAAGCCATGAACGTTGCTTACTAGTCACAATTTCAGTCACTAGTCACACTAATTAGGGGAGACCTCCAAATCTTAGGCACACCTCCAGATAGCGAGAAACATCTTCGGATGACTCCCTAGAAAGTTATAGTGAAAATACGTCTACCAAATATTATAGAGACGACTGTTTTAACGGAGAAGGTAATTGGGTAATTATTATGAGCAAGGGCTACGGTCACAATGAATATACAGCACCTGAAAGAGATACGAGGATAGACTATGAGTTGGTATATAAGAACAGACTATGAGCTGGTATATGAGGACAGACTATGAGCTGGTATATGAGGACAGACTATGAGCTGGTATATGAGGACAAACTATGAGCTGGTATATGAGGACAAACTATGAGCTGGTATATGAGGACAAACTATGAGCTGGTATATGAGGACAGACTATGAGCTGGTATATGAGGACAGACTATGAGTTGGTATATGAGGACAGACTATGAGCTGGTATATGAGGACAAACTATGAGTTGGTATATAAGGACAGACTATGAGCTGGTATATGAGGACAGACTATGAGCTGGGATATGAGGACAGACTATGAGCTGGGATATGAGGACAGACTATGAGCTGGGATATGAGGACGGACTATGAGCTGGTATATGAGGACAGACTATGAGCTGGTATATGAGGACAGATTATGAGCTGGGATATGAGGACAAACTATGAGCTGGGATATGAGGACAAACTATGAGCCTGGATATGAGGACAGACTATGAGTTGGGATATGAGGACAGACTATGAGCTGGAAAATGAGAACAGACTATGAGCTGGGATATGAGGACAGACTATGAGCTGGAAAATGAGAACAGACTATGAGCTGGAAAATGAGAACAGACTATGAGCTGGAAAATGAGGACAGACTATGAGCTGGAAAATGAGGACAGACTATGAGCTGGAAAATGAGGACAGACTATGAGCTGGAAAATGAGAACAGACTATGAGCTGGGATATATATAAGAACTGGGGAAGAAACGGTGCCCATTACGGGCTATTCATGCCCGCGCTACCTCTTGGGTGGCTTAATCTTTATCAATCAATCATCAACGGTGCCTAACTACTTGGACCATCGGGATTCGAATGTTGTAATAACCAGTCGAAGAGGATGAGACATGAAGAATGTCAAAAGTAAGACCTTGAGAAAGTGTATAAGTTTGTGTTCGAAGCAGATATATGGAGGTAAAACAGCCAGCATGTGTGAGTAAAATTTAATCAAGCTATGGACTTAAATGAAAAATAATTTGCTCTTAGCTGCAAGCTTATCAAATTTAGGAATCTTTGTTTTGTACAGTACTGTATATTCTTCAACCATGCATTGCAAATACAAATTATTGTCAGAAGTATTTAAACACAAAACCTAGCCTACGTATAATTATAAATAGAATTCTAATATATTGTAATACCACTTTATATTTGAGAAAAAACTAATTTTGAATACACATTTCGTTAAAATTTATCAGTTCGTCTTTTGGGATCAACCGCCGCCTGAACGAGTCTAGCCTGAGGACAGGTCATACAGCTGTAACAAGGGAAAGGGAACAAAGTATTGGTCACGATAATGTTCTTGAAGTTGTCTAATAATAAAGGTAAAAATTTTGTTTTTGCGAAGTTCAAGCTCTTATATTTCATATTTGTACTATTGATGAGGCTACCTGCTAGTGAGGCTACCTGCTGATGAGGCTACCTTTGGTGCGCCTACCTCCTTGTTAAGGCTATACCATCTAACTTCGTGTCTTCCAAAAATATATAGATACGCAGATGAACAAATATTATTAAAATACAAAAGTTAATTATAAAAATAATAATAATAATATGGACAAACTTTAATTTCCATGTGGTGCGTGTAATTACCTAGTTGATTAAGAAAGGGGCAGTTTGTGGGAAGGCTTTCTTGCCGATGACTGCGCGAGTGGTGACGTCAATGTTGATGGTTGATCAAGATCAGTGTTGCTTGGCGGTTTGTGTCGGGGAAAAGCTCTAAACCCGGAGGCTCCCAATTGGGGAGAATTCAGCAATGTGTTCCAGTGACCTCCAGCACGGCAGGACCCAGACCACACTCCGTGGGAACACCAGGAGTATATCAAGGCCCGCCACCTCCCAGCCTTACGGGCTCACCATAGCCCGTGCTACATGGACACTTCGTTCTGAGTAGCTAAATCTAAAACAACAACATCCCGGCAAGTGTATGGTTGGACGTTGTTGTTAATTGAGGGGCGACGACGACCAAGAGATCGGAGTGCCCCCTCGTTGGACGTTATGTTGATGCTTGATGGTGATGACTGGATGTGTTGATGGTGTCAGCTGACCGCTACAGTTTCTTTGTTGCATGGTTCACGTTTTCTATGAAAGATTTAATTTGGTGATGACCATTGAACATTGCATCCACTGCTGTGTTACAGAGACTAGTGAACATTACATCCACTACCGAGGTCCTTAGACTATTGAACATCCACTGACGTGTTCCTGAGACTATTGAACATACCTCCACTACCATGTTCTAGACAAGTGAACATTACCTCAACTACTGATAAACAAGAATGTATCACCCTCAAAGAGCCCTTCAACATAGAACACATATTAAGGGCAGGGTACTTCTCACTACATATAAAATATCAAATGGTCAATTTATTACAATTACAAATATTCGGGAGGGTTATTAAGACCACTCAGGTGCTTACTGCGCGCGTTAATCTTCCGCATTAGCTCCGGACCTCTCACCTTACTGACCAACTAGCAAGTATACGTCAGTCTTGAACACAGCCCAAGTGTATATATGTCAGATGTATGGTTATCCGGGTGATATAAGTTATAAGCATATATCACCTATGCTATGGTCATTTTTTTTCGTTAACTGGAAATATATAGCCAATGCTTTGAATTATTTAGTATTTTATATGTAGTGAGAGGTACCCTGTCCCTAATATGTGCTCCAAGTTGAAGGGCTCTTTGAGGGTGATAAATTCTTGTTTATCAGTAGTTGAGGTAATGTTCAGTTGTCTAGAACATGGCACTGGAGGTATGTTCAATAGTCTCTGGAACACGGCAGTGGATGTAATGTTCAATAGCTTCAGGAACATGTCAGTGGATGTTCAATAGTCTCAGGAACACGTCAGTGGATGTTCAATAGTCTCAGGAACACGTCAGTGGATATTCAATAGTCTAAGGACCTTGGTAGTGGATGTAATGTTCAATAGTCTCTGGAACACAGCAGTGGATGCAATGTTCAGTTATGTCTGTCCAGCATTTACCGCTGTGTGCTGTTAGTTTGGTTGAGTTCCAGCCTTAGTCTGGTCATTGTTATATCTATGTCTTTTGTTATGCCTAGCGTGTTTCCTAGTTTCCTAGAGCCCTTTGTATGGTTCCATAGTGTACTGAAGACCATGATATTTTCCATTTATGGTTCCATAGTATGCTGAAGAACGTGCCTGGATTGTGGTGGGTATTAGGAACCTTACCATGTAATATGGTCCAGTCACTTTGGTTGGACTGTACTCGCTTCATGCAGGTCGGCGTTCAATCCCTGACCATCCAAGTGGTTCGACACCATTCCTTTCCCCCGTCCTATCCCAAATCTTTATCCTGACTCCTTCCAAATATTACATTGTCGTAATGGCTTGGCGCTTTCTCCTCATAGTTGCTTTTCCTTCTTTTCCGCCCCCTCCACTCAGGAATCCCGTGCAATATGGGGAGGAGAGAGAGAGAGAGAGAGAGAGAGAGAGAGAGAGAGAGAGAGAGAGAGAGAGAGAGAGAGAGAGAGGGGGAGAGAGAGAGAGAGAGAGAGAGAGAGAGAGAGAGAGAGAGAGAGAGAGAGAGAGAGAGAGAGAGAGAGAGAGAGAGAGGAGAGAGAGAGAGAGAGAGAGAGAGAGAGAGAGAGAGAGAGAGAGAGAGAGAGAGAGAGAGAGAGAGAGAGAGAGAGAGAGAGAGAGAGAGAGAGAGAGAGAGAGAGAGAGAGAGAGAGAGAGAGAGAGAGAGAGAGAGAGAGAGAGAGAGAGAGAGAGAGAGAGAGAGAGAGAGAGAGAGAGAGAGAGAGAGAGAGAGAGAGAGAGAGA